TCCTCCTCCTCCTCCTCCTCCTCATCATCATCATCATCATCCTCCTCCTTCTCCTCGACCTGCTCATCATCACCACCATCACCATCATTATCAACATCAGCATCAGCAACGACAGCATCATCATCAGCATCAGCATCAGCATCAGCATCAGCATCAGCATCATCATCCTCATCATCATCAGCATCAACTTAATCGTCCTCTTCATCATCAGCATCATCATCATCACCATCATCATCACCGTCATCATCATCCACATCACAACCATCATCAGTATCATCAACATCATCATGATCATGATCCTGGCCATCATCACCATCATTACCATCATCATCATTATCAACACCATCACATCAGCATCGGAACCATCATCGACAACATCATCGTCACCACCAGCATCATCATCATCCTCATCAACAGCATCATCAGCACCATCACCATCATCACCATCATCAGCATCACCATCAGTATCATAAACATTGCCATCTATTTCTTCGTCATCATCATCATCGTCATCACCATCGTCGACGTCATCAGCATCGTGAGCATCAGCATCATCATCGACACCTACACCCAAATCATCAGCAGCATCATCATCAACATTATCCCCATTATCATCATCATCACCATCATCATGGGCATCATCATCATCCACAGCACCATCAGCACATTGATATTCATCTTCATACTCATCTTCATCATTGTCGTCGTGGTCGCCGTCGTCGTCGGCATCAAAATCATCATCATCATCATCAGCATCATCACAATCATCGAACGGCGACTGCTCCACCCTCCTCCGCCTTCTCCTCCTCACCATCGTCAACATTACAACCACCCTCACCATCACAATCATCATAACCATCGCCATCACCATCACGACATGTAGCACCATCATCACCACCATCCACAACATCGTCCTAAGCATCGCACTCATTATCATCATCGTCGTCATCATCATCATAAGAACCATCATCATCACCAGTACAATCATCACCACCATCACCACCACCACCATATTCAGCATCTTCATCATCATTATCATCATCGTCGTCATTCATCATCATCATCATCATCATCATCATCATCATCATCAGAAGCAGCAGCAGCAGCACCAGCATCAGCATCAGCACCATCATCATCATAATCAGCATCATCATCAGCAGAGGCATCGTAGTCGTTGTCGTCGTCGCCGTCGTCGTCAGCATCAACATCAACATCAAATTCAGAATCAGCATCATCATCAGCAGCAACATCAATCTCATCCGACTACGGCTGCTGATGCTCCTGCTCGTGCCCCCACTCACACTAACGCTCCTCAAATCTCTCCTGAAGGTTCTCATGTTCCTGTGTAATTTCCTCCTGCTTCTACTGCTCCGCCACCACCTCCTCCTCCTCGTTCCACCACCGCATGTTCCGCCTTCTCCTCCTCCTCGCTACGCCTCATCATCACCCCCTCCCATCAAGGAACAGGGAATCACGGCGCCACCCCCACCACCACCACCAGCGCGAGGAGCCAGGGGGGGGGCCTCTTGGTGGTGTGGCCCCTCCCTCTCGCCCGAGACATCTCCGAACCCCAGCTCGGGGAGGCATCGTCGACCTCCTCGGTGGGGGTGGCTCCCCTGGGGGTGGTATCGCCCTTGCCTCTCCCTCCTCCACCTCCCATCCTCAGACGAAGGAAGGATGCGGACAAATCCGGATGAGGATAAATCGGGAATCCTTGAGAGCTGAGGATGCATCGGGCACCGCGGCCGTTCCAGAGCGCTCCGGAACGCTCTCAGAGCGCTCCGGGAGGCTCTCGGGCAACCCCACCCGCCCTCTGGGCGTAGGTGGTCTAGGGAGGCTCCTCTTCCAACCCTCTTCTTCCCCTTCGGGGAGGGGTTTTACTCCTCCCCCCCTCCCTGGACCTGGACGGGGCGCCCCGCGAGCGGTCAGAGCATTTAAGATGGCCCAAGATGGCTCCAGGAGGGCCTCAGAGAACCCATGATGACCACCAAGATGGCTCAAGATAGCCCAAGATGGCTCAATACGGCTCCCAAGATGCTCCAAGAGGCCCCAAGGCCCAAGACCGCTCCAAGGCGGCTCCGAGTGGCCACGGAGCCTCCCCAGGAGGCCGCCAAGAGGCCAATATCTTTCAAACACCTACAGAAAACCAATAAGGTTTGCCTTCTAGCCTTTTCGCTTCCGATGGCCTTCCGAGGCCTCAAGACAGCTCCAAGAGGGCCCCTGAAGTCCCCCCAAAGAGGCCAAATAGAGCCCCAAGACGGCCCCAAGAGCGCCCAAGAGCGCTCCAAGAGCGCCCCAAGAGGGACCCAAGAGCGCCCCAAGAGGGGCCCAAGAGGCGATGATTGGGGCTCCCGAGGGGGAACGCAGTTGAAGCTCCCATCTTTTTTGATCGATCTCCTCTCAGATGGCCCGCGCTCCCAAGGCTCCCAAGAGCGCCTCCAGAGGGACCGCCAAGAGGCGCCCAGGAGGCCCCGAGAGGCGCCCAAGAGCCGAGAGACCTCCGAGGGGCCCCGAGAGGCTCCCCGAGGCACCCAAGACGCTGCAAGAGACCCCCAGGACCGCCAAGAGGCCTCTAAAAAGCTTCCCTCCAACGCCTCGCGGACCCCCCCGTCCAGGTCCAGGGAAAGGGGTAGGGGGAGGGGTCAAGCTAGCCACCTCGCAAGCCGTCTAGCTCACTCCCACCCGCCCTCCCAACACATAAATCCGCCGATCCGGCGTGTGAGTTTCAAGGAGTCTCAGCTACAGCCTCGAGGCTGAGCTTCAGCCTCTGGGGGGGTCGCCGGGGTGGCTCTGCCGGGGAAGGGGGGGTGGGGGGGGGGGGGGGGGGTGCGAGTTTCCGGCGAACCCCGGGGCCGCTCCGGGGGAGTGGAAGATAGGGGGGGGGGGGGCGCCATGCTCCGCTTTTTCCGGCGCTTTGGAGGAGGGGGGGGGCCCAAGAGACCCCCAAGGGGTTCCAAGAGGGCCCCGAGTCGCCGAAAAATCGCTCCAAGACGCCCGAGATGGCCTCCAGACGGCCCAAGGTGTCTCCAAGACGCCCCAAGAAGCTTCCAAGAGGCCTCCCAAGAGGGCCCCAAGAGGCCAGAATCGTTGATTTTCATTGGTTTTCTCAGGGTTTTTAGCGTTCTTGCCTTTTCGGGCGTCCGACGCTCGAAGACGGCCCAAGAGGCCCCCAAGTCCGTCCCAAGACGGCCCACGATGCTTCCAACACGGCCCAAGAGAGCCCCAAGACGGCCCAAGAGGGCCCCAAGACGGCCCAAGAGGGCCTCTGGACAGCCCAAGAAGGCCCCAAGAGAGCCCCAAGAGGGGCCCAAGAGGGGGACCACGAACCGAAAGAACCGAGCTTTCCGCCCCAAGAGGCCCCCAGGAGGCCCCAAGAGACCCCCAAGGGGCCCCAAGAAGCCCACAAGAGGCCCAAAAGAGGTTCCAAGAGGCCCCAAAACAGCTCCCCAGAGGCCTCCAGACTGCCTCCGGCAGGCCCCCGGTTTCTTCCGCGGCACCGCCCAGGGCGCCACCGGCAGGATGTCCTCCGTCTCATCGTTTTCCTTCAAGTTATCGCCTCTTCCTCATTCTCCTCCTCCTCCTCTGCGACCTCACTCCTATCCCTCAACGATCGCGTCACCGAGTGCCTCTTCTTTGAAACATCCTCGCTCTTCAAACGCACATCCATACACACATGCATACATACCTACATTTAAACACATTTGCATACATAGAAAAACAATCTTCCAGACATACATACTTACATTCACACACATACACACATATTATCATACACACATACAAACATACATACAAACTAAATACATACATACGCGCACAAGCATACATACATACATACGTACCTACACACAGGCACACATGATCAATGCATGCATACATGCATGCACGCGTACATACACACACATATATCGTGAAACTCACCGCGTGCTCGAAACTTGAGAGAGACCGCGGGAAGTCGAGAGAAGCCGCGGAACGAGGCCTCTACTACTACTACCACTACTACCACAACCACTACTACTACTACTACTACCACTACTACTACTACTACTACTACTACTACTACTACTACTACTACTACTACTACTACTACTACTACTACTACTACTAGTACTACAGCGTTTCCCAACTAGTATGTGTGTGTGGGTGATGCTGTGTGCGCATGTCTGCGGCGCAGGTTAAGTGGTGTGACTGTGTGTGTGCGTTTGAGTGTGCGCCCATAATTTCTGCGTCTGGAGAATAACCCCGAGCGACCCGGATCGGCGGCACTGGCCGAAGGCCACTACAATAACACCCGAGCCTGAGCATGTTCAGCGGTCGTCTTTGGATGGACAGCTATTGGGAACCAACGCCGACCCCAGATGCGCGACGTTTGGGCGAGGTCCGCCACGCGTGCCAGGGGCGCCACGCGCGCCAGGCACCCCTGGGGCCCGAGCCTGCCAGGCACGCCTGGTGCGGCAGATGCGCCACGTGCTCCGAGGAGACTCTGAGAGGCAACTCGCCTGAGCATCGTTTCTGGATGGGCTGGTGGGGATACTTTTCTGTTCGCGAGCGCAGGCGGTACGGCCGCGCGCCGTCGAAAGGGTCAAACAGGGGATTTTTCGTCGCGGCCGCAAGCGGAAGCGCAGGCGGCGTCCGAAGTCAGCCCGGGCTCTGGTGGGGATAAGCGAAGAGTCAGGAATTGATCATCTCATCCTATAAGTCTGGTCGCAATTTACGCGACGACGCTGGGTAGCTGTTGGTGATGCGTCATCGTCGTCCGCTGCAGAGTGGAGAGGCGCATTGGGTACCCTTTCTTGAGCGGCCCCTCCAAAGTTGACGGGCGCGCTGGGCTCTTGGCTGGATGTCTCCCCGCCAGTGCACCTGAACGCACTGGATTCAACTTTGAAGGGCGGGGGCAAGCTCCCCGCGGCGCGACTTCAGCCTTTCCTCATGAACCATGACGGGGCTTGCAATTAGGCCTGCCTGGCATCCTCCCCCATTCCACCCCTCGGGGGCAAGGCCTAGTGGCACCGCGGGGCGGTGCCCGAGCAGCTCCCGAGCCCGCTTGAGCGCGCCCCACGTCTCGAGCTGCCAGGCGCTCCGCCTCACCTCGGCCGAGTCCCCGCGCTCGACGGCGTGGTCCAGCCTCTGGCAGTCCGCGCGCGACATGGACCGGGTGTTGACCACACAGGGCTCCGGGCGCAGGATCGGCCGGCACCAACTCGTGGGGCGGGCTCGGACCGGAGCGTGCGTCGGCTCGGGCCAACTAGGAGGAGGAGGAGGAGGAGGAGGAGGAGGAGGAGGAGGAGGAGGAGAAAGGGGAGGAGGAGGCCGCATCGGCGCGGGGCCGGAAAGAGAGCGGGCCGGCCGCGACAGGATGCACGGCCGCGCCCGTGCAGGCTTCGGGCCGCAGCGGGCCGTCGGCACGTCGGCACCGAAGCGGATCCAGTCGGCCGAATCGCATCGAGTCGATACCGGGTCGGGGTCGGTCGGATCGATCGGCCGAGCCACGACGGGAGCGAGCCGACCGATCGGCTCTCGATCGGCCGATCCGGGTCGAATCGGGATCCGTCGCGTGGATATCGAGCCGGCCGGTCCCTATCGGAATCCACTCGGTATCGAATCGGGTCGGCCGGATCGGAACTGGGCAGTCGTCCGGGATTGCGTTTCCCATCATGAAAGAGATTAGGGGAGGCACGATTGTGGCTCATCGAGTGCTGTTTTTGGAGGAAATCGCGTTCCCCATGATTCGCAGGGCTTCGCCCTGCGAGTTAGATGGGAAACGCAAGCCCCGGACGGCAGCCTCGAAGTGGGCCGTCCGCGGCGCGCGCCTCTGCTCTCAGGTCTGCGCCCCCAGGGGGGGGCTCGTTCTGGGGGCCACCTGCGAACCTGCCCTATACCCCCCACGACTTCTGAGGGGGAGGGTGGGGTTCACTTCGCTCGGGTGCCCTGCGGCGGATCGGCGCTGGACCCCCGTCCCTGGCGCGCGGAGCGCGCCAGGGGCGGCGCCGGAGGCGCCGCCAGGGGGGTCCAGCGCCGATCCGAGAAATTCGCGCGGACCTCCGAGTGTTTATGTTTATGCCACTTTTTGTTCCCCCAATGGGGCCGACGGGGCCCCGCGCAGAAGGCCGCCGCGGGCGAGGGGCCCTTTTGGGGCAGGGCCCGCGAGCTCCGCCCACGCTGGCCAGAGCCTCGGCGGCGAGCCCCCTGGGGGAAGCAATAGGGCTCCCCGCTGCGCGCTGCGCGAGGGGCGAAGTGCGAATAACTTCGCGCCCTCGCTAGGGGGGGGAAAAAGAGTGGCATGAACACGAAAACTCGGAGATCCGCGCGGACCTCCGAGTTGTTAACGTTTGTGCCACTTTTTGTTCCCCTGCTCGCGCCGCCTCCCAGGGGAGAAGAAAGGCGCGAAGTGCGAATAACTTCGCGCTCTCGCTAGTGGGGAAAAAAGAATGGCATAAACACGAAAGCTCGGAGATCCGCGCGGACCTCCGAGTTGTTAACGTTTGTGCCACTTCTCGCTCCCCTGCTCGCGCCGCCTCCCAGGGGGAGAAGAGAGGGGGATGGCGAGGAGGCGGAGCCGAGCCGCGGAGCGCGAAGAGCGCGAAGAACTTCGCGCCCTCGAGGGCGCCCTCAAGGGGAAGCAAAAGGGGAGGGGGGGGGCTGGCCTTCTCGGCAGGCGCGGCAGGCCCAAAGGGCCTTCTGGGAAGCCTCCGGAGACCCCCCCGCCGGAAGAGAACTCTGGAGGGGCCCCTGGGACATGCAAATAAATACACACTAATAATACTATGCCCCATACCTTCCTATATTTTCTGGGTTTTTGTCTCCCCCCCGCACTTCCCATATTTTCCCATACTTTCCTGGGACTCGGCGATTGATTGTGTCTGTGTGTTGTTTCCCCTCCTGAAGCTCCTCGGATAGAGCGCGAGGGCCTCCGAGGAGCCCCCACCGCCCTCTGCGCGGAGGCCTGCCCCCTCTCGCTGCCCCTCCCGCTGCGCGCCGCCGAACGCCGCGAGCGGCCGGAGGAGGAGGGGGAGGAGGGGAGGAGGAGGAGGAGGGGGGAGGGGGAGGAGGAGGAGGAGGGAGGAGGGAGGAGAGGAGGAGGGAGGAGGAGGAGGAGGAGGAGGAGGAGGGAGGAGGAGAGAGGAGGAGGAGGAGGAGGAGGAGGAGGAGGAGGAGGAGGAGGAGGAGGAGGAGGAGGAGGAGGACGGGTCTGGGACGACACGGTCGGGAGGTGCGGCTGCTCAGCGTGTCGCGGCGGCGGCGGCCCCGGCGGCACGCCGTGCCCCACGAGCGGGCAGCGCGTCGCTCCGCCCCGCGGGGCGGGGGGCCGGGAGAGGCTCGGGACGTGGACGCTCTGGGACCGGGCAGCGGCTGGCGTGTCGCGCCGAAGCGTGGTGGGCCAGTCGGCGGCGCGCGACGCGGTGCCAAGATGCCTGACCGTGTAGAGGCGCTCCTGGCCGGCCCGGGGCGTCCCCGGGGCTGCCGGGGAGGGCCCGGTGGCCCTCGGGCTGCCCGGACGATTGCCCGAGCGAGCGCACGAGCGCGCGAAGGGCCCCAGGGGAAGGGAAGCGGGCCGACTGGCGGCTTGCGCGCGGCGCGGCCGGGGCCGCCCACCCGATCGGCCAACTCCTCCGACGCGTTGCCCGGAGGCAGGAAAGCAGAACCATCCTCCCCCGAGCCTCGGGCCGGGCGAAAGGGGGGGATAGCTTAAAAAGGGGGGGCTGCGAATCAGCTCACGTAATTAGCTGATTTTCCCGGCGCCTCCCGGCGCCAGAGGCGGCGATGTGTCGGGGAATGGGCCCCTCGGAGGGCCCGAAACCAGCTGCATGCCGCCAATTTCGTACCCCCCCTTTTCGGCGGAACCTCCCTTTAGTAGACCTCCCCTTAGTGAAAGCGGCCTGGGACCGAAACCGACGGACCTGGACCCGCAAACATGACGGCCGCGACGCCCCCTCGCGAACCGAAAACGGCCAGTTCCTTAATCGACGTGCCCAGACCCCCGACGTCATGATTTTTTCATGACGTCGACCCCCCGAGGTCTCGACCCATTCCCCGGGACCGGTTTTTCGTCCTGAGTCGTTTTTTGGCGGTCCCGAGGGCCGGTAGGGGCCCCCAGAGGCCAAAAATAATGAAAAACCTCCCGTCGTGATTTTTTCATAACTCGAGGGGGTCTGGGGTAGGAGGTCTGTCCACCCCCGGCCTTCCCCAATCCCCCCCCTCTTTCGCCCGCCCGCGAGGCTTCCGCGCGCGCGGAGCGGCCGCGGCCGCCCCCACGCGATCGGCCACAGAAATCCTCCGACGCGCTTTGCCCCGAGGCAGAGGAAACGTCCGTCGAGACTCTTCGAGCCCACTGCCCAGAACCCCTCCGAGTTATGGCAAAATCACGGCGGGAGGGTTTTCCTTATTTCTGGCCTCTGGGGGCCCCGGACCGGCCCTCGGGGCCGTCAAGAAGCGACTCGGGACGAAGAACCGCTCCCGGGGAATGGGTCCAGACCTCGGGGGGTCGACGTCATGAACAAATCATGACGTCGGGGGTCTGGGTAGCCCGCCAGCGTTTTTGAATCACTCTGAAGCTTCGCCGCTCCGCTCTTCGGGCAGCTCCACGAGCCATTCTGATGCGGGTGCGCTGCTGGCTGGCACCACCGCCGTCCGGCTTCTGACCTGAAGCCCTCTCAGCTCAAGCAGAGCCGTCCTCCCCCGAGTCCCACCGCTCCGTGGTCCAGCGCTTCTCCCGCGCGATGCCCCGAGAGAGGCACCCCCCGCCCCCCCCCCTGGGGCGCCAAGAGAGCGAGCGGCCGGGCGGCTCGGGACGCCTCTCGGGCCGTGGGGGCGCCCACCCCCCCGCGCCAACACCCGGCAGCATGGAGGAGTGGCACACGACGAGCAGCGCCTGCACGTGGCTCTCCGCAGCGATGGCGTTCGGGCCGATCCCCCTGCTCACCATCTCGTCCAGCACGGCGGCCGAGTGCCCCGGGCGCCCACAGAGCAGGTGCGCCTTGGCCCTGGCGGAGTAGCACAGCACGTTCGGCTCCACGGCGAACTGCTCCACCAGCCTCGCCCAGACCTCCTCCGCCCTGCGCCAGTCCTTGCGCTCCCCCGCGGCGTTCACGAGGGCGCCGAGCGACACGCAGCTGGGGGCCCAGCTGCTGCAGGCCGCGGAGTCCAGCAGGAGATCCAGGGCCTCGTCGTACCCGTAGTGGGCGAGCACCAGGGCCCAAGACTCCAGCGACACCGCGTCGAGGCTGGCGGACTCCCGCCTCGCCCAGGTCCAGAGGTCGGCCGCCCAGGCGTACCCCGCGGGGCTGTCGGCGGCCACGCAGAGGCGCAGCGCCGCGCTGAGGCCGACGTTCAGGTCCTGCGAGGTGTCGAACAGCTGCAGCCACTCCTCCCAAGCTTGCCTGCCTCTGCTGAGCGCCTCGGACTGTCGAGCTGCAACGGCACCGAAGCCGGCTTCGCCTCTGACGCTCTTGCCAAGGGCCGTCAGGAAGATGCTGCACAGCGTGGCGTTCGATGGGATGCCGCTGCTGAGCTGGAAATTCCGGACTTCTTGCAGGGTGTCCCACCAGCGTCTCTGCCCGCACTTCTGCATGGCCGCGGCCACCACGCTGGCGTCGGTGAGCCTCACCGCATGAGCGGCACGCAATTCATGCAACAGTTCTTTCGACGAAGACGCGAGTTGCATGCAACGGCGCTGCTGCGACGTGGTATCTGACCTCGCCGCTGCCAACGTCGGAGACAGAACAAACACGGAATCGCCCTTGCCCAACTTCCCGTTGGAACCGGGAGATGAGAATGCCTCCGCGGGTCTTCTGCGCTTTCTCTCGCTCTCCGCCATCGTGGTCATCTCCTCTCGAGCATGGATGCCCCTGGAGCCCAGCGGCCGCAGGACCCTCGCCGCGAGCTTCCGCATGAGATGTGCGGCCAGCCGGTGCAGTGACCGAGGCCGCAAGGGGCACGGCCGTCGCAGCGGCAGACCTCTGTGTACATCGACGGCGGAGATCGGTTGAGCCTTGAAGGGCTACAGGGCAGTTTTTAATACATCGGATTTTTATATATATATATATATATTGTATGTTCAATACATGACTAATTTATGAATACATGTATGCATGAACGCATCGTTGTTTTTCATACTATGCCCCTGCATGTTTGATACATGATCCGCACGCGGAGCATGTATTAGAAACGGCACTGTGCATGCTACGTTTAACATGGTAAGTCGGGCCTGTCCCCCTACAGGGGGATTTTCGGCAAACAAATAAAAAATACCCCCAAAATGCCCCAAAGAGGTCAAAAAAGACTCAAAAAATAGTTCCCAGACTATTTTTTGGATTATTTTTTGATGATTTCGGGGGTATTTCTTATTTCCGCCGACAATCCCCCTGTAGGGGGACAGGCCCGACTTGAATTTAACAGTGTGCGCGCCTCCTTCCTCCACGCGGCCATAGCACCGTCTTCGACTGCGCTACGAGTAGCTCAATCGTGCTGGCGTATATCCTTCACCGCCCTTGCAGCGGTGGTGCGTTTGGATTCCTACTCATCTGTTTTTTTAGGGCCAGGGATGCGGAAAAAAACCTCCCCCCGTAACGAATTTGGCCCTCCCCGGGCCTCCGGGCAACCCATCAGACGACCCGAGAGAACCTCACGAGAGCCCGAAGACTGCCACAGACGGGTTCCAGGCGTTCCGGCGCGCTCCCGAAACGACCCCAAAGGACCCCAATACGATCCACGACGACCCCCAAGAAGCCGTCATACCCCCAACGATCGCTCCGAAACGTCCCAAGAGGCCTCCAAGAGCACTCCCAAGAAGGCCCCAGGAAGCACAAATCATAAATTTTCGCTGGGTTTTTGTAAATTTGGGGGTTTTCCTTTTTTCGGCTTCCCGACGCTCCAAGACGGCGGTCTTCTGGGCGTCCGAAGCCGCCTGGGAGGCTCCCAAATCGCCCCACAACCATCCGAAAGGGCTTCCAGGCAGTACAAGAGAGCCCCAAAACGGGACAACAGGGGTTCCAGATGGCCCTGAGAGAGCTTCATGGCGGCCCAAGATGGCCCCAAGACACCCTCAGAAGCATTCCAAATCGTGACCCGGTCGGTCAGGAAGACCGCGGTTGGAGGCAGGGTGGCCCGAGGAAGCCCCCAGAGGCTCCCAGAACACGCCCAGGAGGCCTCCAGAAGGCCTTAAGAAAGCCTGAAAAACTTGTGTGAGGCCCCAAGAGGCTCTCCAAGGAGGAGCCTTCGCAAAAGAGCTGAGTAGGATGGGGAGAATTCGAAGGGTATGGCGAGAATGAAAAAATAGACATGGAGGAAGGATCACGAAAAACATTACTATAACGGCGATGCCAGAAAAGGCAGCAAGAAGTTGTCGCTGAATTGTCGTGTCGGTTTGACCTTCCTGCCATTCTGCCTGCATGCCAAACTGCAGTCTTTTGCACATATATATATATATATATATATGTGTGTGTGTGTGTGTGTGTGTGTGTGTGTGTGTGTGTGTGTGTGTGTGTGTGTGTGTGTGTGTGTGTGTGTGTGTGTGTGTGTGTGTGTGTGTGTGTGTGTGTGTGTGTGTGTGTGTGTGTGTGTGTGTGTGTGTGTGTGTGTGTGTGTGTGTGTGTGTGTGTGTGTGTCGGGCGCTTGCTGTTTCATTACTTTCGCCCCGTGCGAAGCAGTAGTGGTTACCCACCCGCATCGAGCCCAGGCACGCGCAAATCTGTTTGACCACTTCCACTTGACTTCCGATGGCTTCCCAGAAAGAAAAGCACGGTGCCCACATCAGAAGCTCGGGCAGAAGCTTCCATGAACCTTTCTCCTGCTCCCCCCCGGACGCCCGCCCCAGCGCTGGTGCAAAGAGCGCCAATCAACATAGCAACACAACTCTACGCGCTGGCCGCTGACATGTCCTCCCAGGCACGGGTGGACGACGCGCGTCGCCCTCTCTGGGCCGATGCGGTCGCCTCACAGATGGTGCCCTGCCGGCCCCCTGGGGCATCGAGCGCCTGGCTGCCACAACCGCCAGATGCGGTGCGAGAGCGCAGGAGGAGGAGGAGGAGGAGGAGGAGGAGGAGGAGGAGGAGGAACAACAGCGGGCATGTCTTACATGTTCGACATCGGCGCTGCTCGCAATGGCGAGGGCGGGGAAGACGAGAGGTTGGGCCCCTCCGGGGCCAGACTCGGCGCGTGCCCCTAAAACGGAAACGCCGACCACACCCTGCCCTTGGATCCGCCGTGCTTCAAGATTATGGCGGAGATGCGCCCCAAACGGTACGAGACAAAAGGCTGGAGTTTTCGCCTCGGAAAAATGACCCACAGGTATGAAGGAAACAGCGACGGCAAAGTAGGGCGGGAATGGGCATCAAGGGAGGTTGGATGCTAGGGCGAACATGTCCGCCCTACGAGTACTTACCAACGTAGGGCGGATCCGGAGCCAGGGAATTTGGACGCCCGAAATGGGTACGGAAAAAATGGGTACAATGCCCAACAACAGATGTTGTCCCAAACCAACAGCGGCCGCTGTTGGGCAGGCGGCCTTCTGTCTCGAGTGGACACAGGCCGCGGCGGCGCGGACAGCGAATCCTGCTCAAAACGAACAGGAACTGCTGTTGGGCAGCGTACCCATGCTTTCCGTGCCCATCTCGGACGTCCAGAGGGGAAATGCCGACGGCATCTTCGACAAGGTGGAGATCGACGGGGGGAGTAGGAGGAGGAGGAGGAGGGGGAGGAGGGGGAGGGAGGAGGAGGAGGAGGAGGAGGAGGAGGAGTGGAGGAGGAGGAGAGAGAGGAGAGAGGAGGAGAGGAGGGAGGTAGGAGGAGGAGGAGAGGAGGGGAGGGGGAGAGATGAGTAGAGAGAAGGAGGAGGAGGAGGAGGAGAGGAGCCCTGGTATCTCGAGGGGTGGTGGAGGGGAGGAGGAGAAGGAGGAAGGAGAGGAGGAGGAGGAAGGAGGAGAGGAGAGGAGGAGAGGAGAGGAGGGAGAGGAGGAGGAAGGAGGGGAGGAGGGGGAGGAGGAGAGGAGGAGGAGGAGGAGGTGGAGGAGAGGAAGGAGAGGAGGGAAGGCGGAGGAGGAGAGAGGAGGAGGGAAGATGCCGACGACGTCTTCGACGGGGTGGAGATCGGCGTGGGCCCTCGGCCCGCGCCGCGGCGCCCCGCGGCGGAGCGCGAGATTGCGCCCGGGGCACCGGAACGCCGCCCTCACGCCTGCGGCGCCTCCTCCTCCGGCCCCCCCAGAAGCTCGTGGTCTTTTGGAGCCCTCGGGCCCCCCGAAGAGTTCCCCCTCGTGCCGTTCGACGGCGAGACGGCAGGCAGCGAAGAACTGGGGGGGCACGGCGCCGCGCGCAGTCATTCGAAGTCTACGATCGGAAAAAAACCCAAACCGGCGAAAGAGACGACGGCGAGACGGCAGGCAGCGAAGAACTGGGGGGGCACGGCGCCGCGCGCAGTCATTCGAAGCCTACGATCGGGAAAAAACCCAAAAACCGGCGAAAGAGAACTACCTTTGGGTTCCGGCGCATCTCTTCGGGGGCGCAACCGCCCAAGGCTCCCCCGGCGACTCCGCAGCGGGGCCCCCAGAGGCTCGAGGGAGGCCGAAACGTGACGTTATCCTCAAGTCGGGCCTGTCCCCCTGCAGGGGGACTTTGGAGGAAAAGTGAAACATACCCCAAAGATGCTCAAACAAAAATTCGGAAATAGTCACAAAATAGTCCCCAGACTATTTTTCGACTATTTCTGGACATCCCTCCTGTAGAGGGACAGGCCCGACTTGATACGATCCTCGGCCCCTGGCGTGAAGGAGGCGGGTTCTGGAAGAGCCGCGCCCAGGGGCCCCTGGGGCCGAGCGAAAACATGCGGGACCGAGCGGAAGTTCTGGGGCCGAGCAAAAGAGTTCGGTCCGAACCGAGTAGAGGAAAGAGAACTGCAGGCGTCGGAAACTGCACGGTTTCCCCCGGGGCCATAGGTGACCCGAGGAGGGGGAGGATGAGGAGGAGGTGGAGGAGCAGGAGAAGGACGACGAGGAGGAGGAGGAGGAGGAGGAGGAGGAGGAGGAGGAGGAGGAGGAGAGAGGAGGAGGACGGGTCGCCTAAGCCCCTCGGAGAAACCTTCCATCGGAAACAATTAAGCAACGCTCATGCAGAACATACGGCTTGAACCTCGCCCCCCCCTCCCCCCAAATGCAGTGTTGGTTTCGGATCGGATCTTCCGATTTGGGGCCTCCGAGTGGTCTTGCGAAAACCTGTCAACTTTGAATTGCGGGGGAGGGGGGGAGTGTTGCTGAATTGTTTCCCTCAGCCGTATGCACATACAGCGATTCTGGCCAGGCCCATCCGGAGCCCAGGATCGGTGCACACGCCCTCCTGCCTTGGCCAGGAAGTTATACGCACCGGTCCTGGGTCAAGGATGGGCCTTGCCAGGATCGGTGCATGTGCATAGCTCCCTTCGCCCGACCAAGATGTTCGCTCGGTCCCAACCAAAAGTTCTTGTTCGGTCCGGACAAAAAACGGCTGGGACCGAACAGGACTCTTCTGCTCGGTCCCAACACAACTTGTTGTCCGCCCCCATGGCCAGCGCTCCGCCCGGGTAAGACGAGGCGAGCACTGGGACAAAGCCGGACCGGGACGAGCCGGGGATCTCTCGGACCAGGCAGGACGTATCGGGCGCCGCGGCCGTCCTTGAGCGCTCTGGAACGCTCTGAGAGCGTTCGGGAACGCTCTGAAATTTATCCCGCTCCGGCCCCGCCCGACCTGAGCCGTTTCTTGCCAGTGCTGGGGCCCAGAGAGGGCCCTGGGAGGCAGGAAAACACTGAAAAAGCGGCAGGGCCCGATTCCCCAAGACCCTTTCTACTCTCTGCAGTCCTAGGGCCCGGGAAGGGCCCTGGGATTATGTCGGGCGTGTCCCCCTACAGGGGGATTGTCGACGAAAAAATAAGAATACCCCAAAAATTCTCCAAAAAGGTCAAACAATATTTCAAAAAATATTCAAAAGATAGTCCCCAAACTGGGACAGGCCCGACCTAACCCTGGGAGGCCGAGGACAATGCAAAACTGCCACGGGCCCGCTGACTCCAACGTAAGACCCCTTCTCAGAGAGCAACTCCCACAAGCTTTCGGTCGTCCCCATGGCACACACTAGCGCGCCCAATCCCGCGCAAAGCCAACAAGATACATCTCCCTCACTTGGCGACATTGGGCATTTTTGGCCGCAATTGGTCGCTCTGTTTGTATGCTACTCGGCGCTACTGGGCACTAGTGGGCGCTATTGGGCCTTAGTCGCCAATATACACTCAATCCAACACGAGCGGAAGTTTCCGTGAGTTGCGATCAGACGTTTTCAACAGAAGCAAACAAAAACAGCGCATGAGATTAAGTCGAGCCTGTCCCCCTACAGGCCAGTTTTGGACGAAAAATTAAACATACCCCAAACATACCCTAAACATGCTCAAAAATGGTCCCAAAATAGTCCCCATACTATTTGTTGACTATTCTTGAATATTCCTCCTGTAGAGGGACAGGCCCGACTCCAGAGCTGCGATCAGACAGTTTCCACAGAAGCAAAAACAAAAACAACACATAGGACAGCGCTGCGACAAAAAGTCATGATGGGCCGCCTCCCGCCAGGCAGCGCGCACGCGACTCCGGCAACCTCCGGGCCCAGGAGGAGGGCGGGGGGAGAAGGAAAAAGTAATGGCGAGGCAGGAAGGAGCACAGTGGGTCCTCCTCCCTCCTCCTCCTCCTCCTCTTCCTCCTCCTCTTCCTCCTCCTCCCCTCCCTCCTCCTCCTCCATCCTCGCTCCTCCTCCTCCTCCTCCTCCGCCTACTCCCCCTCCCCCTCCCCCCCCCTCCTTCTCCCCCTCCTCCCCTCCGCTCTCGCCTCCTCCCTCCTCCCTCCGCCTCCTCCTCCTCCTCCACCCTCCTCCTCCCCTCCGCCTCCTCCTCCCTCCTCCTCCTCCCCTCCTACTCCTCATCCTCCTCCTCCTCCTCCCTCCTCCTCCCCGCCCCTCCTCCTCCTCCTCGCTGCTCCTCCTCCGACTCCGCCGCCGCCTCCTCCTCCTCCCCCTCCCCCTCCCCCTCCCCCCTTTCTCCTCCTCCGCCTACCTCCTCCTCCCTCCGCCTCCTCCTCCTCCTCCTCCGCCTCCTCCTCCGGACCTCCGCCTCCTCCTCCTCCTCCTTCCTCCCCCTCCTCCCCTCCTCCTCCTCCTCCTCCTCCTCCTCCTCCTCCCTCCTCTCCCCTCCTCCCTCCTCCTCCTCCTCCCTCCTCCTCCCTCCTCCTCCCCCCCCAGCACCCCCGCCCGCAACACACACGCAGCGAACCTGCAGGGCAAGACGCAGGGTGCCCAGAGGAGTGTCGGGAGCGCCCGCCTCGGCGCTTCCCTGGGCACCCTGCGGCTGGCCGTGCCAGCTCGGCGGGGGAACCGAGGGACCCTACTTAGGTCCGACCTGCGCGACGCGCCCTCCGGCCCGCGCCAGGGGACTCGGGAAAAAGAGTCCCCCGCCCCGCGCCTCCCTCCCTCCCTCCCCAGACCCCCTCGAGATATGAAAAAATCACGACGGGAGGTTTTTCATCATTTCTGGCCTTTGGGGGCCCTTACCGGCCCTCGGGACCGTCAAAAACGACTCAGGACGAAAAACTGGTCCCAGGGAATGGGTCGAGACCTCGGGTGGTCGACGTCATGAAAAAATCATGACGTCGGGGGTCTGGGTCCCTGCCTGCCTGCCTCCCTCCCTCCCTCCCTCCCTCCCTCCCTCCGCCCACTTCGCCCACACCTTCCATGTCCAACGTGCATACTGCCCTTCGCGCTTGGCTCTGGAGTGGGTGCGGCGCTGTAGCCGCGAAGCAACATCGCCTCCTGGGGGGCGACCTCGTCGTGGGCAGACGGATAAGAGCTGCGCCTGGTTAGAAGGCGGTCGAGCTCACTTTCATTGCGCTATCAGGTTACCTTGACTTGCATCCGCAACGGGCTCCACTCCACTCCACTCCACTCCACTCCACTCCACTCCATTCCACTCCACTCCACTCCACTCCACTCCACTCCTCCCTCCTCACTCCTCCTCCCTCCCTCCTCCCTCCTCCTCCCTCCTCCTCCCTCCTCATCCCTCCTCCCAGGGGCGCCGCCTCCCAAGACTTGCCGAAGATCTGGACGCCGCTGGTGTGGCTGTCGAGGCGGTGGCAAATGCCGCGCTGCCTCGCCGGCCGGGGAACTCCTCGTCGTCGTCGTCGTCGTCGTCGTCGTCGCCGTCGTCCGTACGGCTTCTCCTCCTCCTGCTCCTTCTGCTCATGCTGCTCCTTCTCCTCCTCCTCCTCCTCCTCCTCCTCCTCCTCCTCCTCCGAAAGTTCTGCCGCAGGCGCCGTACCTACGAGTTAATGTTGGTGCCAGCCGCCCAGCTCGCCCACGTCGACGCAAGAGTAACGTCAAGGCCGCGGGTCTGGCCCTCGCGATTTGCCGTTTCGTCAGAGCGTCTAGGCAGTATTCAGTCACAGGACGACTAGGGCGAGCTGGGGTCCAGGCTGCAGGCTCGTACAGGCATCAACTTACGGTTCTCTGGGATCTCACCGTCTTCAGCGTCGCAGAAGGATCGGAACCTCTATGGGCTCCAAGAGCCAAGAGGAAGGGGAGGTGACACAGACTAATTACGTTGCTCGACCTCAGGGGTCCCATGTGCCGACCCCGTCGTGCAACTTCCCAAGGAAACCATGGAGCTCTGGCTCGACACGTGGAGTGACACCCGTCCATCCGATATGGTTCGACAAGCTTGGCCAAAAGTCGTTCGACAACTTCAGGGAATTGCTCCTCCATGTTCTGGGCAAGTTCGTGGGCACATCGCAGCCTTGACGGGGTACATGATGGAGGTTGGCTGTACCATTACCTCTCCTTCCAAAAGGCCACCGCAGGAGATGACGGTTGTAGTATTTGGTTGTTTGTTTCGACTGGGATCTTACAGGTATCGAGGACACGGATATTTCATATTAGCTTTAGCTGGCGTTTCAAAATCTCACGTGGTCTCGAGCATCCAGGCATTCGTGGGGATGTGACTCAGAATGGCACCCATGATTAGAAGATCCTTGCCTGAGCGTGTCGACGGCCACACGGGCATCGTCTAACAGAGACTATGTGACCGACAGTGCTGCAGCTTGTTATGGATGGGATCGTGACCTCTTTAGGTATCCTAGTGCCCCTAGTGGGGACAACAAGGGAACCTGGGACACGATTCGGAGTCTATGTTTGAGCACGGCACGTGACAGGTCACACATCAGTGGCCTCCCATCAGTGCCCAGAGGGAACTATCCAGAATCATGTACCTCGCTATCTTGTTGTAGGCAACGAAGTGGTTGACCGTTTCGCAGGTCTCGCGGAGGAAGAGTGCCGAGTGGGTCCCACGTTTCGTGCTCAGGTCTTCAACGTCGAGCGCGACTTCTCTTGGGACGGCGCGGGCTTCTCCGTGCTGCGCTGGAGGTGTCCCAGCGCGAGACGACCGACGCCCAGGCGGCTCGTGCCACCAGACGGCGGGCTTCACCGAGGCCGGGCGTAGGAGAAGAGGAAGCGGGCCCTCTCCCTCCCCTCCTCCTCCTCCTTCTGCATCTGCTCTTTGCGATTCACAGCCTGCGCTTCACAGTGCTCACCTGTTGTCTGCGTGGGGGAAATCGATCACCAGGTCGACGCTCGAGAAAAAGTATTCACCAAAATTCCCACGGCGGCGACGGAAAAAACAAAAAACACTATGCAGGGGGGGTCCCAAATCTGGCGGCCAACGCCCTGGACCCTAAGTAAGTGTTACAAAAAATTAGCGGCGGCCGCGCGCAAAAGCCAAACCGACAATAGAAAGACGAGGGCGGCGGACTCTGCGCACACTGTATGTACTACGTGACATGAGCATGGAAAGATACCGTTGTAGATCATGTACGTAGACGAGCTTAACTCGCGCGCATGCGTGCGTACATTCTTACCACATATACTTTTGATGTGAAAACAAAAGATATAAAAAAAAAAAAAAAAAAAAAATAAAAAAAAAAATAAAAAAAAAAAGAAAAAAAAAAAAAAATTAAAATTAAAAAATTAAAAGAAAGAAAAAAAAAAATAAAAAGAAAAAAAACAAAAAAAAAAAAAAAAAAAAAAAAAAAAAAAAAACAAAAAAAAAAAACAAAAAAGAAAAACAAACAAAAAATACAACCCACAAACAACTCCCTCGTACACCCCCATCCCGCCCCCCCCCCCCCACCCCCCACCACCCCTCACACCCCCCCCCCCCCCCTCCCCCCAGACATCGTTCAACACTCAAACATCGACGGGGCCGCGAAATACGAGCCGGAATCCGACGCCGCAACCCAATTCAAAAATACCTCCGTTCTCTTATCCGAAAGCGCCCGCAGTCGGTTCCAAAATCAAGCGAAACCTTCAACCCACGAGCGCGCACCGAAAACATACGTAACAAAACATGTCCAAGAAATGTCTGGAAATATCACGCTTCGCCGTCGTTTACCCCCCCTAGGCCCGAACTCTCCATGCCACCGCGACGAATTACACAACATAGGTCTTCTGACCCCCCCCCCCAGGCCCGAAACACCCACACAAAAGTAACAACCGCGCAACCGCGACGAATTGCACAACATAATTCTGTTTCGAAGGGAGCAAACGCGCATCCGCGACGAGGCCTCTGGCCCACGGCCCAGGCGCGGTAGCGGGGTGGGCTGAAGGCAGTCTTGCAAACAACCGATGCAAATTCGTGGCGGCGGCGGCGGTCCCGAACACTAGGTGCACTTTGCAAGAGACGGATTCGGTGACGGCGGCCCGCCCAGAGACTCGGTGGCGTGGAGGCTTAGTAGACCAGGTGATGGAAATCGTGCTTAGCCTTCAAGGGTCTCTAGAACACTCCCCAGTAAATACACTTCGTTGTTCTCTCCGGCGGCCTTCTTGACGGACTGGTGTCCCACCAACGGACGGAAACGAATGATTTGTTTCCCGCGGCGCCCGCCAGCCAGCGCTCTCATGGAAAGCCTTGGTTCAGACACTTGGCACTTGGCACTCATAAGGTTTTACCACTTTTATTCGCCGCCGAGAGATCGGGGCGGGGGCTCAAACCTAAGGACCCTGTGAGGCTACGATGCAGGGGGTCTGCCTCCAACGACACTCTGGCGAAGTGGCGTGTGACTCCCTGGTTTGGTTTGATTGTTGGGGGCTCGCAGGTTTTTGCATCTCCAGCCTGAGCAACCCTTGCATATTTGTGGGGGGTGGGGTAGGTCGGGCCTGACCACAAAATGGGTTTCCATGATAGCCTCAGAGTTTGGTGTTGCACTGCTAGTGTTTTTTTACAGCAGCGAACTTCTAAGGATTTACGAACGTCCTGTACCGATTTCCTGTCCAACTCCAGACGAGGTTATCTCCGAGAGTTGGCAAGGGTCAGAGGTCCTGGGCGCTTGCCTGAGCTCAGCAGGCAGCTCGAGCCTCGGGCTCAGCTCAATCCAGGATATCGCCTTGTCGTGGCGTCCACTCCACGCCACTCCACTCCTCCTCCTCCTCCTCCTCCTCCTCCTCCTCCTCCTCCTCCTCCTCCTCCTCCTCCTCCTCCTCCTCCCCCTCCTCCCCCTCCTCCTCCTCCTCCTCCTCCTCCTCCGCCTCCTCCTCCTCCTCCTCCTCCAGGTCCTCCTCCCTCCTCCTCCTCCTCCTCCTCTCCTCCTCCTCCTCTCTCCTCCTCCTCCTCCTCTCCGCCTCCTCCTCCTCCCCTCCCCCTCCTCCCCCACCTCCTCCTCCTCCCTCCTCCTCCTCCTCCTCCTCCTCCTCCTGCCCAGCGCCGAAAGTTCTTTAATGTAGCTTGTTTTTAAACTTTAGGCCACCCCCCCACGCAGCGCACCACCTGCATCGACCTGGCGAACCACGACGGCCCAGGGCCCAGCGCTCCCGCCCCCGCCACGGGGCGGCGGCAGCCGCACCCCCGCCGCCGCCTCGCGCCCCGGCCCCCCCCCCCCCCCGCGACGGGGAGGAGGCCGGGTGCGCCGAGAGGGCGGGGCGCACCGTTGAAGAGGCCCTGGGACACACACACACACACACACACACACACACACACACACACACACACACACACACGCACACACACACACAGACACACAGACAGACAGACAGACAGACAGACAGACAGACAGACAGACAGACAGACAGACAGACAGACAGACAGACAGACAGACAGACAGACAGACAGACAGACAGACAGACAGACAGACAGACACACACAAATATATACAAACAAACAAAAGGGTGCCCCACACCCAGAGATCCAACGCATTGAAAAAATCAAGACGGACGTTTTTCGCAATTTTCGGCCTCTAGGGGCCCTCGCCGGGCCCTGGGACCGTCAAAAAACGACTCAAGATGAAAATCCGGTCCTGGGGAAAGGGGCGAGACTTCCGGGGACCCACTATTGAAAAAATCACGACGTCGGAGGTTTGGGTATGTTCCCACAGTTTCTGGGTTCTCGCCTTCCCCCCCGCTTCCCGTAGTTTCCCCTCTGTTCTGGGGCAGCGGCGATGACTTGTGTGCCTGTGTGTGCTTTCGTTCCCCCACCTGAGAACCGCGGCCCGGGGCCCGTGCGCGGCCGAGGGACGGCGGGGGGGCGGGGGGCCGGAGGCCCAGGCGGAGCGCCCCGAAAGCAGAGGACGGGCCCCGAGGCCCGACGTACGTGTGGGAAACGGCGCGGCCCCTCGCGCGGAGCAGCACGGCCCAGAGAGCCCCCCCGGGCCCCCACGTGTGCTTCTGCTGCACGCTCCAGGCCGGGGGGGGGCCCTGACTCCAGATCCGCCCTACTTTGGCTTTTTTTCCAACTTAAAATTGCGTCGGAAATCCACCTATGAGAGGCCGAAGAAGTAGGGCGGAAATTGCTGCACCCAACATAAAACAGGGCGGAAATCCACAGAAACAGCAACAGAAAAGTAGGGCGGAAATTGGCATCAGCGGGGCTTGAAAATTAAGGCGGAAATTCCAAGCCCTACTTACGAATTTCCCCAAAGTAGGGCGGATCCGGAGTCAGGGGGGGGGGGCCGGAGGACCAGGGAGCGCCCCGAAAGCAGAGGAAGGGCCCCGAGACCCGACGCCGCGGAGAAACGCGCGGCCTCGCGCGGAGAAGCACGGCCCAGAGAGCCCCGGGCCCCCATTAGGGAGCCTACAAAGGACGTGCGCGCACAGCTATGTACACGAACGCGGCCCCTCGATCCGCGAGACCGGGCGCGTTGTACGAACATTTGCGCAGTGCGTACTCTCGATATCAGCGTGGGTTCCTGTACGTGTACGTCCTTCTTTCGCTCCTGACCCGTGTGCTTCTGCTGCACGCTGCAGGCCGGCTCGAGCGCTGTGAGGGCCCCGGTGGCCGCCGCCGGGCGAGAAAGCGCCCGGTGCGCAGAAGCTGCAGCGCCCGGATCTCAGGGAGGGGGCCCGTGGTCTCAAAAGGAGGTCTCACTAGGGGAACAAAAAGTGGCATAAACATAACAACTCGGGGGTCCGCTCGGAGTTCTCGGATCGCGGAGCGCGCCATGGGGCGGCGCCGGAGGCGCCGC